ACCCGTACAACGGCAAGTAGTGCATCATTATTTGGACAAGTATGCCTTACTCCTTCGATTTAATGGTGATGGTCTCACAAAACCAAATGAAATGTGGACAAATTTTTGTGAATCTCGCAGTATTAAATATTGTTATTTACTAAATGTTTATTGTTGTTTTATAAATGTTTAATAAATATGTGCTGTCATTGCTGGACCGGATCCTCGTAGTAAGCGTCCTCTGATCATGATCTATAGTATGAATTAAATTTGTAAATTAATTAGCTAATTATTGCATACCTCCCATTTCTTAACGTTGATGTAGAACTTGCACACTTGTACCGACCCATTAAATCTGCACCGGTCGCAAAGTTTGACAAGTCCTCTCCTAGTTCACTGTGTTATTGCTACGTGAACTGTAGGATAACTTAGTCATATAGATTATGTGTGAGAACGAGTGTATATTGTCAATGTTACTCCTATTAATCCTGTTATTACTCCTATTACTGTTACTCTTCTTATTACTCCTGTTACTCATCCTGTTACTCCTATTACTCCTGTTACTTCTATTACTCCTGTTACTTCTATTACTCCTCCTGTTACTCCTGTTACTTCTACTACTTCTCCTATTACTCCTGTAACTCCTGTTACTCCCGTTACTCCTCCTATTACTCCTGTTACTCCCGTTACTCCTTCTATTACTCCTGTTACTCCCGTTACTCCTCCTATTACTCCTGTGACTCCTGTTACTCATGTTACTCCTTCAATTACCCCTGTTACTTCTATTATTCCTGTTACTTCTATTACTTCTCCTATTACTCCTGTTACTCCTCCTGTTCATATGACCTGAGAACATGAGTCTGAATCACTCGCCATGTTGCAGATGAGGTTCGCCACGTGTGAGCTCGTAGCGGCCCCGAACTTCACAGTGAAGGGGACGATCTACTTCAGACAGAACGCTTCCTACGACACCACAGTCATCACAGGCACCGTAGAGGGTGTGTATAGTGTGTTGTGTGGTGCAGGGTGTTATGTATAGCGCCCTGTGTGGTGCAGGGTGTTATGTGTAGTGTCCTGTGTGGTGCAGGGTATTATGTGTAGCGCCCTGTGTGGTGCAGGGTGTTATGTGTAGTGTCCTGTGTGGTGCAGGGTATTATGTGTAGCGTCCTGTGTGGTGCAGGGTGTTGTGTGTAGCGCCCTGTGTGGTGCAGGGTGTTGTGTGTAGCGCCCTGTGTGGTGCAGGGTATTATGTGTAGCGTCCTGTGTGGTGCAGG